ATCTTACTGATTCTAAAGTTGATGTAATTTGACTACTTAAATTTATATTAAATCCATTTTGTTCCATATTACAACTAATAAAGCTTTAGTATAATTTGGAGCACGCACATTATATTCTCCTCCATACCCTACCCACATTCTCCCAAATGTGAATAAGAGTCAATTGTTCATCCCTATTTGTCAAAAGCCTTATAAGGGATGAGATAGTCTCTCCCTCTCTCCGTGAAAACATACTTCAGAATTACCTGCCTCCAGCGTTTCCATACAGTCTAAAGCCAATTTAAAAAAGATCACGAGGGTGGATAACCGGCCCTCATCTGACAATGAAAGACAGAGCCTAAAAGAAATACATAAAAGTTTGAAGGAGAAAAAAAGCAGGGGAAAAAAATCCTTAGGCCTCAAGGCTCTTCTCTAAATTCAGAGGCAACAGACTTAAGACAACTGCGGATATGCCAGACAAGAGGCCCCAACAAGGAGGAAAAGCAGCCAGTGCTCAAATATTCAAGCAAGCAGCCACTGCAGACCCACTGAGAGGACAGGGAGCACTGCGTGATGCAGAGCATTATGATGCCCACACCGTGCAGCAGAGACATCCAGCAAGCAGGGGCCAGACATGCTGTGTAAAATCAAGCCTTTTGGGGTTTTTTTGTTTTTTTACATCTCAGAGTTTTCTTTCATTTCCTCACACAGAAGCACATTACGTATGTATATTACCAACTCTTTCATAGTATGCTATTTTGAAAGGCAATACAAATGTATAAAATAACTGAATGGAGTTAACTAAATTTGATGTATTATTTACTAAAAAAGGAAAGTTGGTTTTTTTTTTTAAGTTTACAAAGGTAAGAAGTTAAAAACATAAAGATGAAGGGTAATTTTGGGAAAGGAAACAATACATCATTTAGTGTACATGTGTGTTTAAACAAAATGGACTTTTATTTCGGTGGCCGTGGGTTAGCTGAGTTCCTTTAAATAGTTAGGGATTTGCGAAGCGCAAAGCTCATGTAACGTAATCTGTGTTTTCCGCAAATCCCCATCGGTCTACTTACTTAAGAAACCCATGCTTCCTGGCTGGATGCCGGCATGCCAAACCTGCCCAGTCGTGCATAGTTTTATTTCTGTTACTAAATTAGGAAACCAAAGCGGGCAATGTCTGGGCCAACAGCAAAGAGAAAAGGCTCGGCATCATTAGTCGGCTTGTCTTCTTAAAAGCTAGATCATTATAAGATATTTAATTTTTAATTAGAGATACCAAAGTAATTTAGCCTAATAAGGAGCAATACTAAGAAATAATTAAATGAAGACAAAGGGAGAAATACAAACGTTTAACAAAGTATTCTTCTGAATAGCCTTAATGATGTTGAAAATAAACTACTACCATTCAAGGCTTAATGTCTCAATGATGGATACTGAAATACTACCTTATTTTTTTAAGCAGTGAGGAAGAAATAGGAAGTTATTCATCACAATTTTTACAAAGATCTACTAACATACTTTATGTAGAGCACTGTTTAGAGAAACTAAGTGGAGCATTCAGAGACCTGAGTAAAGGAACACAAAGCAGGATTTCAAAAGAACAAAATCACTTTGTTTATTTACAAATTTTAGAATGACAGAAAAATATAGAAGGGAAAATCCAATTTTCCACATTCCAAATTTCACTTTCCCCTAATTAGCATATCAGGGTGTTTCAAAAGACGATAGTTGTTAAATAACATTCCTTAAAGTATTTTAAACACACCTGATACTTTCTCAAAAGCTAAAGCTTGACTCCTAAGGGTGCTGGTAGAACTTTAGTTCTTGCAATATCTGAGTGATATTTCTTATAAACATTTTGTTAAATATTGAGACATTTCAAAGTAGTATTTATTTTACTTTAGTTCCTTCTATGCAAGAACTTAAAAATTTAAATATATGCTATAAAATCTATATTTTATATGGATGAAATGTATATAAATACCAGAATTTACACATTTATAGAAAGATTAAAATTTGAGCACTATAATAGGCCCTGAAAGGCTTGATTATAAAATATGACTTAAAAGAAAATGATGTTCGCAGTTTACTTCCCAACCTTAAGTAACATAGACTTTTATATTTATAAAGAAGCCACAAAGAGAACTCTTCTAGTAACCATCCTAATTGTTTGGTATCCTTTCAACTAATCTTTTTACACATATTTCCATGATTTTTATTCAACAATGAAATGCATTTAGGTAGTCTGGTGTGAGACAAAACCCTGAGTCTTTCTCTTCTTTTTGCTTAACTCCCATCACCACGATCTGGCCATCAGTGAGGAGCAGAAGCAGGTCCACAGGGGTTGGACAAGCAGAAGCAATCTCCCTCAGTCTCAAGGCATCCTTCAATTGTCCATCCTACTGAAGTCACAATGCAAACCATGTCCATCTGGCCCCCTTGTCTGGCCCTTCACTGTCCCTATATTATTGATAAGAGGCACAATGCTGCGGGAGGCACAGTAAAATTAGAGACACAAGCTTCAAGTCATAAGTTACATAAATAAAAAGCAAGTAATAGATTGATCAGAAATTATACTCAAAAGTATAATAATCCCCATTGATCAGTGCAATAAAAGGTCTTCCAGGCCCTCATTTTTACCTCCTTACTGCAACATAAAGAAACATGTATATAGATGAAATACCCAAAAAGAAGGAAAAATTGATTTTCTCTGGTTGTAAAAAATCAATGAAATTTATTTTTCAAGAGAAATTTGAAAAGAAAAACAACAAAACTGAAAGACCTACATGGTATTTCCAAACTTCCTATAGAGTTACACTAATCAAGCCAATGTGGTATTGTCATAAGGAGAGACATAAAGACTAACAGAACATTAGAAATCAACCCATATGTTTACAGACAACTGATTTTCAACAAAGTTACCAAGAAAATTCAACAAAGAAAGGAAAGTCTTTTTAACAAATTGTGCTGGAACAACTGAATATCCCATATATAAAATAAAAGAACATGAAGGGGCAAGCCAAAGACTAGGAGAAAATATTTATACATAATACCTCTGATAAAGGACTTGCATTCAGACAAGAGGAGGGTTGGCAAACTTGCTCTAAGGGGCCACTTAGTAAACAATTTAGGCTTTGTGAATCATAGAGTCACTGTCACAACTACTCTGACACTGTAGCACAAAAGCAGCCATAGACAATATGTGTATGAATGGGCACGGCGGTCTTCCAATAAAACTTTATTTACAAAATCAAGTGGAGGGTCAGATTTGGCCCATAGGTCAGAGTTTGCTAACCCCTGGTCTCTAACATCTCCTTCCAGGTTAGCTGATTCTCATTCTATGAGAGCAATTTCACAACTCTGTAAGTTGTAGATCACTGATAGCAATGTAAAATAATCCTTGTTTATAAACACAAAAATGAATTATTTCCCATGGAGAGACAACCCTCTGTCCCTGTGGAGAAAACCAGCTTTGTTCCCATTTCAATATTCTTAATCTCTAAATGTTCTGTTCTTTGCATCCTCCTTTGAACTGGTTATAATACCTTAGCAGTCTCCTTATTAACAGGTTAAATTAAAGGTTTAATACATTTTAAAATTTTTATATCTGTATGGAAATCACGATCTTACCTTTTTTTTGTGAAAACTATCCTTTAACATCAGAACATATTAAGAACTCTTAACAACTAATAATAAGAACACAAACAACTTAGGGGCACCTGGGTGGCTCAGTTGATCGAGCGTCCAACTCTCGGTTTCCGCTCAGGTCATGATCTCAGGGTCCTGGGATCAAGTCCCCTGTTGGGCTCCCCACTCAGCAGGGAGTCTGCCTGTCTCCCTCTCTCTGCCCCTCCCCCACCCCGCTCGCTCTCTCTAAAATGGATAAATCTTTAAAAAAAAAAAAGAACACAACAAAATTGAGCAAAAGATTTCTAAATAGATATACTTCACCAAAGAAATGGCAAATAAGCACAAGAAAAAGATATCGTCTTAGTCTGTTCAGGCTGCTATAACAAAATACCATAAATTGGGTGGCTTAAAAAACAACAGAAATTTCTCACTGTTGTGGAGGCTGGGGAAGCCGAGATCAAGGTGCTGGCAGACCCAGTGTCTAGTGAGGGCCTGCTTTCTCATTAACACCTATTTTCTCATGGTGACCTGACGTGGTGGAAAGGGTGAGGGAGCCTTCTTGGGCTTCCTTGATAAGGGCACTACTCTCATTCTTGAGGGCTCTGCCCTGATGACCTAATTACCTCCCAAAGGCCCCACTTCCTAATACCATCATCTTGGGGGTTAGGATTTCAACATATGAAATTTGTGAGGACATAAAAAGATGCTTAATCTTCAGTTACTAGGGAAATGCAAAATAAAATCATAACGAGTTGCTACTATACAGCTACTAGAACAGCCACAATAAAAAGACTGAAAATACCAAATGCTGGCAAGGATATGGAGGGACTAGAACCCTTATACATTGCTAGCAGGAATGTAAATGGTATAGCCACTTTGGAAAACAGCTTAGCACTTTCTTTCAAAGTGAAAAATATAGTTAATCACACAACCCAGCAATTCTACTCCTAGGCATTTACCCAAGAGTAAGGAAAACATTTGCCCACAAAAAGCTTGTGCACAAAGCTTCACAGCAATATTATTCAGAACAGCCCAAATTAAAAACAATTTAAATGGTCAATCACCTAGTGAATAAACAAAATATGGCATAACCATACAATAAAATGTTACTTAGCAATAAAAAAAACCCAAACTACTAAAACACGAAACTGTATACAAGAACATTATGCTAAGTAAAATAAGCCAGACACAAAAGGCTACATATTACATGATTCCATTCATATGTAATTTCTAGAAAAGGTGAAACTATAGAAAGATGAGCAGTTGGCTGGGGGTAAGAACAGGGGCTGGTGACAAACAGGAACTGGGGAACTTTTGGGGACAATGGACAAATTCTAGAACTCGATTGCGATGAGGGTTCCTCAACTGTGTACATTTAAATAAAATTCATCAAATGGAACATGTAAAATGGTAAATTTTATGCTGTGTAAATTATACCTCTATAAAGATGTTTTTAAAAAATCAATGGGCAGTAGTTTAAATAAATTAGTAACTCATGCCAGGAACATTACTGACATTGTTATAAAGATTAACAAGATACTACTTAGAGGACTTTAAAAAAAAGTGATGTGGAGGAAAACAAGTTGTGTACGGGTCACACTTTGTAAATTGATTACACAGAGAGCTCTGGAGATAAGGAAATCAAGGTGCTATTTCTTGCTTTAATGTTTCTATATCATAACTTTACAGAGTTTCTGACTTAGAAGTAGTTAGAAATTTAAACTACCAATAGGAGATAAACAGACATGATATACAAATGCTCATGCCTTGTATTATGTCATGTCTTTTAGCATCAGAAACAGATTTTTGACACTCACTCCATGCCCTTCATAAAATGAAACCTGTTAGCATTAGCATAAATTTAAGAATGTTGGATTTTAGTGGTAGAAGGTATATTAGAACCCATCAAGTTAAAACTACGTACCACGCCGAGTAAGAAAATGGAGACATAGGGATTCAGTGACATTAAGTTTATAGGCTTTTGCTTTATTGAAAGTTCACAGTTCTTAAAGCTCCATGGAATTCTAACTGTAGGAAATTCAAATAGCTTTAGCCATAAAGTCCAAAAGCAATTTCACAGGATATCATAGGCAAACCAAGAGCATTCAAATAAAATAGACACAATGATTGGCACTTTAGAAAAAAGTTCTTAAGTACAGAATAGGTAAAATTGTGCTAACTGTCGAATTACAAAGCTGATTTGATCTACTATGTTAAGAATCTCAAAAGACAAACAGACTAAAACTTTCATTTTTCTCTTTCGTTTAAAATTAACAGTATTCTATAGTCTATATTTAATATATCACTCACTAAATGTGATATAAATTTTTGGTTCTTAAATTGCTAAATAATTCAGGGATTTGATAGGTGTGAAATATATTTTCAATTATGCCACTGGATCATTTCACTTTAAGTGAACAAAGCATGGAAATTTATCTCTGAACAAGAGCAGCTCCTCTTGTGTGTATACAGACTGTAAGACAATATTCCATGTATATAAGACAGTATTTGTGACTCTCCACTGATTATGCAGAAAAATTAGTAAAGAAAAGTTATCTCACATACTCAAATAGGTAATATTCAGTCACCTAGAGAGAGCAGGCAATATGAAGAACTGCACCACAGAAATCATAATTTGGGTTTGGGATATATACAACAATATGCATAATTGTGCCTACTTTTTGAAAATGTTTTCCAAGCTATATTTGCTCTGCTTTAGAGTAAACATCCTTTTCAAGTCATGCAAAGAGAAAATCATAAAAATATTTCTTTGGTTACTCAACTGAAGACTTAATAATTCAATTTAATCTTATTCGACTTATAAAAACTTAAACTTTCATTCATGAAAATATACATTTAAATTTTAAAAGGAGGCAAAAATGGATACGGGAAAAAAAAATTCTGAGATTAAACATCCATGTGTATCTTTCAGCTATTATTTCCAATAAACTCGATTATTTCAACATTTTACAAAATGACTATAAAATTATAGCAAAAACTCGTTTAAGGACAACAGATTCGTGTTAAGAACCTAAATGTATAAGTAAATAATATGACTTCTACAAAACCTGCTGTTACTCCCAAAAAAATAAATACTAAGACACTGATACTGATACTGTAAGTTCACACTAAAGTAATGAATGCCAAACTTTTGAAACTAAAAATAAAAAAGTCATCAAAACAAGACCTGCCAGACTTTCTCTTTCAGAATGTCAGCAAATCTAGTGAAGAAACAGAGAATATATAAAACCAGCTAATGGACATTCATTTTTAAAATCCTTTGACACTTCAACAGCCACAGTTTTGACTTCAAGTTTCCTCATTTACAAATAAATACACAATGAAAACTAACACAAGTCGTTTAAAAACAACATATCTGCGTACGATTTTGATTTTTTTAAAAAGGAATAGGAGGATTAAACAAAGAACTGTGATGTCAATTGTGTGTCGGGGAGTTGGTAACAAACCATATCAAACTAAATTTTAATTACTTCTCATTACATCAACCCTTGGCAAATCATAAAGCTTTTCATTTACTAAAACAATCATTACCTTTAAAATTACTTGTACAGTAGACAATATGACTTAAAACCTTTAACAGGTTAAAACAATGTAAAGATGAAGTAAGCAATGAGTATGTTCAAATAAAATATGAAACAAAATAAAGGTTTTATACCCTGAAGACAATATTTTTAGGAAATACCTATTCAGCATATAACCTATATTCTACCAGTTAGTTTTTCTCCACAATTATATACAGTTTGACCTAAAACAGCATATTGAAATCAAGGTAAAAAAAAAAAAAAAGACAGCTATAAAATAACAATGAAAATATAATCTTTTTAAATGTATCTATTTTATAACTTGTCTTTTCCAAGACTGGTTCACAAATACAAATCAAATCGCAAATACAATACAAATTAAAATATAAAAAAACATATTTAATGCTCAAAAGCTCTTTAGTAAAAATGAACTACGAACCCCAAGTTTTGCCAAGATATCAAAGCTATGATAGAAATTACTCACACTACCTTAAAAGTACTGCAAGTTGATTTATGTCCAAAAATAACAATTCAATCTCTGAATTCCCATTAAGTTGTGCCTAAAAAAATACATTTTATAAGTTCTCAGTAACATTCACTCCAAAAGATTAAGATCATTTATATTCATCAGCTTTTAATACCAATTCCTGGTATTCATGATAAACATATGGTTATGAACCCATTATGGGCTTCTCTCACTGCAACCACAACACTTTTGGCAAATTATTTAAGTGGAGCATTTTAACTGCCGAAGTCATTTTTCAAATCTGTAATTTAGAAAGATAATCCCAAAAGGAGTGTGTGTGACAGACTAGGAGTTGAATATATTGCAGAGATAAAACAATGGGAAATACTCGAATCCAAATCATTGGATCCTGAACACCACTTACACATCAGCTCAGTCTCTCAACGTTATGCATGACTTCTCCTTAAATCCTCTTCAGCTGACCTCTGCACTGTCTCCACGGCTCCCACCAGCACCATGCTCATAATAGACCATGGTGGAGAAAATTAATTGTACACAGAAAGGGAAGAATAACAGTACTGCATGTAAAGTAAATTTGGAAGTATTCCCCTTGGGATTTCAAATTGGGTCGCTGCTATTATGATGTTAGCTGCTTTTAAATCTTTTCACAAAGGAATGGACCATGGAAAGGAATTCAACATGCCTTAGCCAGTAGTATGATTGATGGGAGAGGCTTTCCAAGTCTGAAGGACTAACTTTTCTCCTTTTGCCTTTTTTTAAAAAGTATCATCACAATGAACTTTTGTTTTTCAGATGCTTGGCATGTGTTCCGCCAATTCCCTTCACATCTTTCCTAAAAAGGAGTACTTTCTGTATTAACTTGATACTGAAAAGGACGCATGGTCCAGAAAACAAAACTTTTTTTCTTTTAGAAGAATCTTAATGGCCATTTTTATTCCAAGGTTTTTGCCCAATTTTTAAACCTTGGGAAAGTTTGTAAATAAAACTTTAAAAGTTTTAGCTCCATTTGTAACCAGATTGTACAATATGTAATAGTATCAAATATAAAAATATTTTTTCTGAGAAATCCATGCATTTTAGTATACTGAGATAATGTTATGTAAAAACCTGAATAAAAAATCTTTATGTTACTATAAAGTAATATGTATTTAGCTATGGTATAAAGTTATCTTACTAATAGAGTGTTATGTGTAACAAAGATACTAATAAAGTAATTTATATGCCTATAAGAGACAATGAAAGAACAGATTGTGAAGATGAGTTTAGAACTCTGGTAGACAATTTATTCAATTACCCCGTGGTCATCTAGCAAGCTGAGGATGGGTAAATTGTTAGATTTTATCCCTCTGTCCATTAGTTGTCAAATAGGTAACTTAACCACTCTGTACTGTACCCAGATAACTCAGTACTAAACACACTCAATAATTCTTTCTCTATCCTGTCTACTCTCTTCCTTGAAAGTACAAATATTAGCCTAAAGTATTAGACAATAAAACATCATAAGCTCCTTTGAAGTCTGGGTCTAGATTTTGTGCACCTTCACCATTTCCACTTCCTCTAGTACATAGCATGGTACTTTGAACCAACAAATATTTTTTGCTGGGCAGATGAAACAGTAAGTCAGTGCCCCAGGTAATCTAGATAACCCTACAAAATAAAGTCTATTTATATATAATGCTGACCATATATATATATATATGGCCTGGTGACACCAGAGGGGTGCTCTACCAGAGATTAATTATTTAGATTCTTTATTAGTGAAAAAATGTGCTAGCTAGTTAATTTACCAGCACTGATGTGGAATCAGTGAAAAGCTGAGTCTCCCTAGGAGGGTAAATTACCCCCAAATTACTATGGTAGCCACCAAGGAGGGCAACAGGGGGTGAAGAGCCATGATAATTTGAGGGAAGGGGGTACAATAAGATCCTTTGTGTTTTGAGGATTCCCTCTGAGTTGATCTCTGAGTGGCAGGCACGAAGAGATGGCAATGAAACCAGGGCTGCCCCCATGTTCCTGAAGCCACCCAGCATCCCTAGAAACTAACCCAGGGAACGCCAGTGTGGATCACCAGTGACCAGTCTATACCCACAGGAACGGGGTCGGCACTTCTGAAGAAGCACTACAGCCTGTGCTATCATCTGTCAGAGTACGCCAATGACGTCTCAACAATCGGGGTGTGAGCAACAGTGGAAGCCTAGCATGACCAGGCTCCATTCCTGCTGTGTGCTCTCCAGGAAGAAGGCTGATCTGTTCCTCCCTGCCTCCACGTTAGACCAATGAGCACAAAAATTTCAGAACAATTTAGGTGGCGACAGGACGGGTCTAAGAAGAGATACTAAATTTCATTTCAATAAAGCAATGAGAGGCTCAACTAGAAGAAAAACACATTTTAAGAAAAAAATAACAAACTTGACCATACTTGAAGGCTGAGTTTTTGGAACAATTCAGGCTAGTTATATGTAGCACATATTTCTGTGTTTGAGTATTTTATTTTTGCAGACATATGTGTTTTTGTGTGCTTTCACTATTTTTTAAAATTTTTATTATTAAAATACAACATAGACTGCTTTAATGTTTTTAATTTGGACTAAAAGTCTTTCCTTTTTTGGTATGCAAAACAACTTTCAGGGATAAAAAAAAATTTTTTTTTAAATAGGCTGATTTTTATGCCAGATGTCAGCAACATCTTTTCTGACTCCTGGTTACATTTTGTTGTTTGTTTATTACCACAATCTTCTCTCATGGGAGTTTACAGCAAATCACAAAAGCATCAGGCTTCTGTTGACTATCAAGAGTGAGCGGATGCTTCTAATATCCACTGGCCCTTGTGGTCTTTACCAAAGGGTGAATCACAAAATGTTTGGCAAGCAGCTCTGCACTGATGGAAATCTTTCCTTAATATTCCTTTATTTGCAAGTGCATGGTATTTGTCTTCCTAATAAATCACATATATAATTTTACTTGATCAAGTTAGAAAAAGTCTTTGGAATAAAATGAGTTTAAATTTGTTCTCTAACAAATACTCTTCCAAGTAGAAGGCAACATATAAATGTTTAAGTGGTATGTAATTCATATATATGAAAGCATGCAGGTTAGCAATCAGATGAGAAATCAAAGAACATGTAATGGACTCCCACTTCCAAACATGACAGGGTCACTGACACCAGACTTGCTCCCCACCAAAATACAATAAAACTACTCAAAAACAGATGAGGCAACTGTGTTCAAGCAACAGACTGGAAACACAGACCTTTGATCCTTGAAGAGGTGAGTCCTGTGTTGGAATGTGGCTTTCTGCCAAGGGGTGCACTCTGGGCCACAGCACAGGGAAGTGGAACCCAGGCGGAGCTCAGCAGTCTCAGAGAGCAGAAGGACCAGAGATCCGACCTGGAGAGCTGAAGCAGCCGGAAAATGTAGGACAGCGGAGCAAAGGGGACAAAACTGTGAGGTGAAAAAGTGCTTAATCAATGGCATACTGGAGAGAGCAAAAGGAGTCAGTGAGCAGAAGACAGATCAGCAGATGTATCATGCAACGTTCAGATCAAGAGGAAAAAAATTGTTTTAGAAGAACAAAGCCTCAGTGACCTGTGACACAATATCAAACGATTTCATGTGTGTGACTAGAGCTCCCAAAAAAGAGAGGAAACGGGGCAGAAAAATATCTGAAGAAATAATGACAGAAAACTTCCCAATTTGGGAATCAAGAAAACCCCAACCAGGATATTTTTAAAGTCCTGCATTGTGGCACATCCTAAACAAACTGCTAACAAAAGATAAAGAGAAAAATTTTAACAGAGCCATAGAAAAAGATATTATATACAAGGTAACAATGATACAAATTGCAACTGATTTCTCATTAGAAACAATGGGGTCAGAAGACAATGGAAGGTCACCTTCATAAAGTGCCAAAAAGAAATCCTGTCAATTGAGAATTCTATATCCAGAGAAAATATTCTTCAAAGATAATGACAGTTTTGCATAAAGAAAACTGAGATAGTTGATTGCCTGAGGACCTGCACTACAAGGAAGGACTTCAGTATGAAGAGAAATGATACCAAAGAGAAAATACATCCACAGGAAAGAATGAAGAGCATGGGTAATAGTAAACATCTGGGTTAAAAACAAAGAATATCTTTTTTATTACCTTGATTTCCTTTAAAGACAATTGACTGTTGCAAAATTGACACTATATTGTAGAGCTCATAAACATAAAGGAAAAATACTATATAAGAACACAAGGAGGGTAAATGGAAGTATACCACTGGGAAGAGTCTTAAAATTTATATTAAGTGGTACAACATCCTAAGTAAATTGTAATAAGTATATATATATGAAGACATATATCCATAAAAAGCCTTACACAAGAATGTTTAATATTAGCTGTATTCATCATAGTCCAAAGTTAGAAGAAACCCATATGTCCATCAAGAGGGAAATAAATATATGAACTGTATATTCAAACATTTGAATACTACCCTGCAAATTATAGAAGAATGGACTACAGATACATGTAAGGGAATGGATGCATCTTGAATATATGGCTCCACTTATACTATGTTCAACAGCAGATCCCATTAATCTGTGGTCACAGAAATCAGAAGAGTGTTCACCTATGGCAAACAGACTGGAAGAGACATGAGAGTACTCTCTGGGGTAATGGAGATGTTCTATATCTTGACAAAGATGCTGATTACATGGGTATATACATTTGTCAAAACTCAGAATTGTACATCTGTGCATTTCACTATATGTAAATTTTACCTCAATTAAAAAAACTATAAGAGAAGACAAAAATATGAAGAACAAAAATTAAAAGAAAAATACAAGAGGGTCTTCAAGGATAACTGTTCAAGTTCAGTGTTGGGTATACGGGGATTCATCATTCTATTGTCTACTTTTGTATTTCGAATTTTCCATAATAAAAAGTTTTTTAAAGGCAAAGGCAATAATAATGTATTAATACATTTAAGTTAATGTATTGTGCAATGTATTAATACACAATAATATTTTGTATATTTGAAATTTACTAAGAGAGTAGATCTCAAGTGTTCTCAACACACACAGGGTAACTGCAGGAGGTGATGGGTATGTTACTTAGTTTCATTGTGGTAATCATTTCACACTGTATACACATATCAAAAAAACATGTTGCATACTGTAAAAATATGATTTTTATGTGTGAAAAATAAAGATCAAAAGTAAAAATTTTAAATATCACAGTAAAAAAAATATTCATTTAACCTTTCCCTTATGGAATTTGGATACAAACCTACAAAACTCATTGCCAAACAAAATACAAAGTTATTAAAATAGTAACTTTTTAAAAGGGGAATGAGGCCTGCTCAGAAAAAGTACTTCAAGATTCCAAAGTTCTTATACCATAAACCATGACTCAATAATTTTAGCCAGGGAGATTTTTTTTGAGTGATGATTATTTATTCTTCTTGGAACCAGTTAAATCCATATTATTAAATTAGCCTTATCTTTCAGGCTGGATTATGGACTAAGTTAGGAAGATATTTAAAGCAGGTGTATCAAGAACCTTTCTTCAGTCCAAGGTGCGTGTCTGTCCAAGTTTGTTGGAGCCCCACGCACAGATGACTCGGAGCTACCCCTTGGGTGTTCTCTGGTCAGTGCTCCGCTGCCAGTATCCGTACCTCTGGGGCTGAGGCTTTCTCTACAGAAGGCTGCTGCTCCACCACATGTGTAGGGACAAGTACCCCCTCATCTAAGCAACTCTGAACCAATACTTTTTGGGAGCTGATGTTTAAATGCTTAGGCCTCTTAACACTTGAGCAGGATGATTCCTTGTGTTTTACACAGGATTAAGCTCTCAGTGCCCACTATGGTGGCTGGTGGAGGAGTTTAGAGCGTGCCACCCCAAAATATGCCAGTCTAGCATATTAATTATTTTGAGTTAAAGGCGCTGAAAACTGGCAGATGAAGAAGGCACTTTGACCTTCCCTTCCTAAAAGCACAAAATAAAATTCCCATGTAAAAGGTGTCTTCCCTGTACCAGGAGGAAGGAAGACATTCTTATCACCAGAGATGGAGAGTAGAGGCCAAGGGAGATCTTACCAACCAACCTTGTTAAACAACCCTTACATTCCTAGTCACTGTTTCACAATTAACTGCCCTAAGCCAAACCCCTCTGTCTTACCACATTTTCACAACTACAACTCTTTGTCCAACCTAGTGTATAGGTGTTTGGCTTTAACTGCTTCTTTGGGTCTTCATTTCTCTGATAAAACTTCCTTTGCACAGGTAAAAATTACTAAATAAAATTTGTATACTTTTCTCCTGTTGATCTTTTTTTTTTTTTAAAGATTTTATTTATTTATTTGAGAGAGAGAGAGAGCACATGAGAGGGAAGAGGGTCAGAGGAGAAGCAGACTCCCTGCTGAGCAGGGAGCCCGATGCAGGACTCGATCCTGGGACTCCAGGATCATGACCTGAGCTGAAGGCAGTCGCTTAACCAACTGAGCCACCCAGGCGCCCTCCTGTTGATCTGTCTTAATTCTCCTGCTGATCTGTTAGTTAATTCTTGGGCCCAGCTGGAGACCCTAAGAGCGCAGAGGAAAAATTGTACCTCCCCTACACGGGCTTAGTAACATACTCTAATCTGTCTCTACATTCCTCTATCCTGTCACCACTTCACACCAGTGTTCTCTGTTCTTCCCAAAAAACTACCTGTGCTCAGTGTGAGGTGGTGGTGGTGGGGAGAACATCTAAGAAAAAGGGTGCAAAGAATGTTGTAGAGCTATCTTAATAAGCACAGAGCCTATGGGCCTTAAGGACACAACCAGTGATTGGGATACTAAAGAAAACTTAGTAAGGGTCTGCCTCCATCTTCTCTCTGTGTATCTGCTTCATCTTTCTTCCTTTTTTCTGTTTCCCAGTCTGTATGGCTACTTCCCAGCACCTCACAAGATTACACAGCATTGTGCAATAGCCCAGAGAGAAAAAGAGACTGATTTTCTTTTTCCCATTTCCCCTGATGTCTCTTACTTTCTTTCCTTTTCCCCCACCAGCCTCTTCCAAAATTCCCAGGATAAGAACTGTTCTGTTTGCATCAGGTACCTACACCAGCACTAATCAACTGTAGAGATAAAGCCATGTCACAAGGAAGGAAAAAGGCAGTACATTCAAGCTAACAGAATGGGGAAAAGGGACATCCCAGAAAATGGGTCCCATCCACATGGCTGCTACCAGGTAGATACTGGCAGACAACTCAACAGAATCAACCATATGAGTCATGCATGTGGTTGAGAAACTGTTGAAAATACTCGACCTTCGTCACAGCAACAAGGACATACTCATAAATATCAAACTATGTGCAAATTTCAGGGCATTCATGAAACCCCTAAAATTCATTCTTAGAGCCTAATCTTAAACTCTCTATATATGCATCTGGATTTTTCAAATGTTTCAGATTTTTCAAATACTGGTATAAAATTTTTCAAAATTTTAAATATTGAGAATGAAATTATATTCAAAGGTTTTTCAACTACAACAAATGCACATAATGAAATGTTAAGTCTTTCAAGAAGTAGAAGTCTATACATAATAGCCTGGACTAGGTAGAAGGGGCTAACTAACAATCAGATATCAACTGGAGTCTATTGTCATCAAATAGAGATAACACGGGAGTCCCTCACTTTTTTTTTTTTTTTTTTTTTTTTTGCTACACTTAGACTACTTTCCCATTTTATATGCCCAACATGATCAGAAACCTGGGGGATATGTACCTAGCCCCTCCCATTCAAATCATAACATATGAAATTACCTCATAGAGATAAATAAAGTGAATCAAATAATGAGTAAGGTCTAGTCCACTGCTACTGATGATGGCCTAGAAAGAAAAAAATCTATACACGGCTCAGTCAAAAGTTTCTATTCAAAGTACAGCTATTACTGTATATAATTTTACCCAAAACAGACAAAACCAAACATATACAACAGATGAAAGCTATGGAAATAAAACCAGCAGTAAATGCTTAAAATCTATTATGTAACACGTGAGATATAAATTAAAAATTAGAAGCAAGCAGTCAGAAAACCTATACCCTTCACTGGTCATTAGGAAGTAGTCAATGATATTAGTAGCACATCCTTAACCTCTAAGAGTATATAATGGAAGGAAATGACCACATTCTACCACAAAATGCTCTTATATTACAGGAAAAAACAGAATAAAAGAACAATGGTTTAACAGAAGTGTATTTCTCATATGCTCTTTAATTATATATAAAAAGGGGCTTCTGAATACAGTATTATATCCATGTATCTTGATTTTACAAGAGATCTTGAAGTTTCATATATGAAAATACAAAAACCCAAAGTATTATCTTTACTGATACATTTCCTAGGCAATCTCCAAAAGAGAATCTAATTTCCTGAGTATCTGAATATATAAACTTGATGAAAGCTAGAATGATAAAACACCACTCACTGAGCCTGATTTCATACAATAAACTCTAAAAGAAAGATCAGACTCCTACACCATATTGAAATTTTTGTATTAACTATCGTTGGAAAATGTAAGACAGTAATTATATAGGGTTAAAGAATTTTTTAAGCAGACTGTACTATTTTTGTAAACAATATTGAACCTATATTATTAAGGCCGCACATAAAGTTTAAAAATTAATGAGTTACTGTGTTTCACTTAGAAATGTTTGTATTTAAAAGACTTTAGAGAAAGTCTTTTTTATATCACAAAGAAATATTACAGACTTTTTCATTCATGGGTTAAGCATGAGTAGTTTTTATCATTCTCATGTGACCCTGAAGTTCCACAGCAGGTAGTAATTTGTAATTTTGGTTGAGTCACACATTTCACCTGGATACACTAAGAGACTGGTTGGTGTTCCTAAGTTACTAAGTAGAAATAATCTTCGACAATGTGACATCTGCATTTTTCTCTGCTCATTCTTGAATGCAAAGTAACTTTCATATAATATTTAAGGCACAAGTTTTTTTATTTTAACATACTTCACCTTTTTTTTTAAATATGGTAAATGACATATGACAGAATTTGCAAATGTGTGGATTCACAAAGGAAGGCCCCTTTATGCCCCTTGTAAGAAAGTCAGTGGGTTTAATGGTAGCTCAGGAGAACGCAGAATGTCAGTACTATACATATATACATCACATTCTAGGAGGATGTTCAGTAGGCAGAACTGACAATTAGTTCTAGGATTCAAATTTAAATTCTACTATGAAATTCTAGTAAGATTAAATCAAAATTACTGTACATCATTTATCTCACTAGAGAATGACAGAAAACACTGTATTTCCTTTTTGGGTACTAAAATGATTACATCATGCAAAGTTCATCTAAACTCTCTTATGTAAAATATCCAGAACTGAATTACCTTTTTGTACAAATATTTCACCAGAGGAGTGACTTGAAGGGGCACTGATCGCAATGCATAATTGTAGTAATTGTAGCTAAAAACATAAATGCCACCTTTTTATGTCCATATCAGGTAAAAGACCCTTAGACACATTTCACCCACATTCTTTAGTTTCATCTTGAAACAAATGGACCATCCCATATCACAAATACACCCTAAGCTCACTGCCTAGACATACAGCAAGAAACAGAAATAAAAACAGATTTGTAAATAGACAAACTATTGTGTGCTACAGACTAGGATTACCTGGAGGTAGGAATTGCAGTTGGTTATTAGCTAATCGAAGATGACGTAAAGCTCTCAGACGACCAATTTCTGGGCAAACAATTTCTAAGGCATTGTCACTAAGATCCAAACACTGGAGTTTTACAAGAGATCCAATGGCTTCAAAGAGAAAAGAAAAGTAAAGGCAAAATTAATTTGACCCAAGTGTTATGACAAATCTTTAACGCAAGTACCGCTAATTATAATATCTTAATATCCCTGCTTCTGTTGCAAAAATAGTAAAAACATAGATCAAAGTAAATTTTATAGGAGTGATAAGACTTCAACCTTGATATAAAATATGATAAGTTAAAAAGCCCATATAAAAATGTTACACTGTAAAGCATTGCTTAAATAAATAAATGATGAAACGATATATAAGGTCTTTCTGTCTAAAAATTCTTAGCTGGATTTATTCAATTTAAAACTTAAAAGACCGCCTGGGTGGCTCAGTAACTTGAGTGACCGACTCTTGATTTTGGCTCAGGTCATGATCTCGGGGTTGTGGGACTGAGCCCCGTGTTGGGCTGCACACTTGGAAGGGAGTCAGCTTGAGATTCTCTCTCTCCTTCTCCCTCTGCGCCTCCCCTATACACATGCTGTGCTCTTCTCTCTCTCTCTAAAATAAATAAATGTTTAAAAAAAATAAAAATTTTGGGGTGCCTGGCTGGCTCAGTCAGTGGAGTATATGACTCTTGATCTCGGGGTTGTGAGTTCGAGCCCATGTTGGGTGTACAAAATACTTAAAAAATAATAAAAATAGATTAAAAATAAAAATTTTTTGAATTTATCATTTTATTATTTACCTAACAACAATTTATCCAATAATAATTTACCTAACCATTATAACCATTTTAGACTTATTATTTAATCAAAATTGTTAACTGAACTTACTAATCTTTGAAACTAAGAAAGATGCTTTGTAAGTAAAATTCCCTAATACTCCTCATCAAAATTTGTTCTACTATTATAAAGGAAAGCATAAACTATGGTACCTCCTAACTAAAAATTGGAAGTGGACTTACCTTCTGGAACCACAACTATGTTATTCGAGTGAAGGTACCTGGGGGGAAAGAAGAAAAAAAAAACTTGCTATCATCCAGTACTTTTGCTAGATAACCAATCTGTAAAATGCTCACTTAGAAATTTATCAAACATAAAGGAACCAAAGCTTTCTATCATACCCTACTCTAAGTGCACGACACAAAACCTGCGGTCATCACAGATAACTAATAGCTTGAGAATGATATTTTATGCTGGAATTGCAAATATTAAACCCATTTACTGATTTAAGTTATTTTAAAATAAAAGCATGCACAATGGATATATTTTGAGGTATTTTTTTAAATTTATAAAACAAATTACTAGTTTTCCTAGTTCATTTTAAAGTGTTCAGGTTTTCAGAAAAACACGTATTGGGTAAAGAAAATCAACACTTGTTACGTAAATGAAAATGCAACTTTCAATTTCTAAAGAATAACTTCACAAAATAAATCAAAGCTATTTCCAGCTAATATGCTGACTGAGAACGAAGAATGGAGAGATTAAATACCGATCATTTACAGTAACTGTAAAAATACTCAACTGTCAGGCTACATAATTTATTTCACAGCAAAAGGAATCTCATAAACAAGAATCAAATTCTTTTCTTAAAAAAAAAAAGTTACCCCGCTGACAAGTCCAGACAAGCCTAGTAAATAACACTTTCCCCACTGAAGTATCTTTAGCACACTCTGGTGGAGACTTTATGCAATCAGCAGCAGCCAACTATTCAGAGCAGAACAACAGTGACAACAGGAGATCACATAATTTTAAAAATAAATTTATATCACTGATTCTGAGAGACAAGAGACCTAGATTTTTTTATGTTTTCAAATCTATCATTGTATTTGTTATACCTCATAAATCAATCTTCATAAAATATTTTTAAAAGAATTTTGAATTTTTCTACATTTTTAAGCCTAACATCAAATGTTCAAATGTCACTGACACAAAAGAAAGACACAAAAGTAATACATTTAAGGTTATTTAATGCTGCACTAAATAGATTTTGTGTAGGTATTAACCTGCTGGGTCTACACAATTTAAACAATTATTCCATTCTATATTTTATTCCTTGCTTTGTGTATATAAAATGATTTCACATTTTAAAATCAATATTCTTTAAGCATTAATTTTAGGAAGGAATACCTACCTGCTTTATCAGATGACCCTAAAATTTCTTTGGTGCCAAAAGACCATATATAAATAAATGTGCAAGCACACACACATATACACACATTTGCATTTGTTACACAAAAGCCAAGGTGCCTGGACACCAAAATAAAGAGACAACTGATTTTTCAGTTACCCACAAAATATTTGCCTAAACTCAAGTTCTACATATGCAAAAGGACCTTAAAATGAATGCCCAAATCAAAACATGAACTAAAGTACCATTGTTATGAAGGAAATTAAATATATATTTTAACACATTAAATTTACGTACACTAAAATCAAGATACAGTCTACAGAAAGAATAGAATATTCCCAATCTAACTACAAAACATAGGTGTGCAGGGCCATCCCTACCAAGTGAAACACCATCTCAACTCAAGTTATTCTGATGTGCAAGTGATAATCATCACTGGTGGGATGGATCAGAGAACAGGCTCTGGAGCCGGAAATGAGTGCACCTCAGTAGCCATGTGCCCAAGGGAAAATTACTCAACTTTTCCCTTGCATAATCTATAGAAGGAGAGAATAGTAACACCAACAACATCAGGATATTGTAAGGATTAAATGAATCAATAAATGTAAAGCTCTTAGATCAGAGTACCATGAATGCCGTTGTTACTGTTATTATAGTTATTGTGAGTCATCTATAATCAAAGGTTTAGCAATTTTAAGTCTCTTTACTTGCTTTTTGTAATTTCAAAGTAGTTGAAATGTTGGTGTTTCAACGTGACTAGTTTTCATCATGTTCTCCTACAGTGCAGGAGCTTTCATTCATTGCTGGCAACAATGCAAAACAATATGGTCACGTTGGAAAGTAGTTTGGCAGTTTTTTAAATAAAATTAGATATGGACATTTACTTAATAGTGATATGCCAATGTCAGCTTATTTTTGACAAATGTATCATGGAATTTTAAGATACTAACAACAGGAGAAACTGGGTGAGAGATGTCTAGAACTCTCTACTCTCTTTACAACTTTCCTATAAATATAAAATTGTTCCAAAATAAAGAAGTTAATTTTTTTTTTAATTAAAAGAACAGGGCTTTTATTTCCAGCCATGATGGAATAATAGGGACCAGATTTACCTGGCTGCTATAAGCAACAGGAAAATTGAATGTAATACATGAAACAATTATTTTCAGATATAAAAAACAGGCAATTAGGATGTTACCTGAGAAAGAAGGGACAAGGCAAGCCACACAATGTCCCTAGCTTTCTACCCGGAAGCAAACTGTGAACTGTGGTACATAAATGGGATCCCAAACAAAGTATGTAAGTCTCACTGACTTATGGAGACACAAGTCAGAATTCAGGGAAACTGAGGCAGCTGGAAGTTGTGGGGCAGTGGGCTGGAGTTCTGGAGGAGAGGATGCTACAGGAAAAAAAAAAACCTTTAAAAATTTAAGTAAGGATACTTTGACTCATTGCTGAATTCTAAAATGTAGCCTAGGCAAAAAGTGACGGAAAACCTATCAGCTGGGGGGTCCACAGAACTCACACAGGGCTGGAGGCATTTAAGTTCTGAGCAGCAAGTGTACCAAGTCCCTGTTGATTATTTGGCACGTTCAAATCAGATCCTATAAAGGCCATGCCCTAGTTACAGGGCTAAACTACCCCTAAAAGGTTACTCCAGACCTGTCCTAATGAAATGTAAACACAAGCCATGAAAGGATCAAACTAAATTGCAAATAACCTCATGCCAGAATAAGGCACAAGAAAAAGAAAGAAAACAGTCTAGAGATCAGCAATGTAAAACTTGTAAGGTCCAGTGTCCAATCAAAAAGTATTAGACATGCCAATAAATCATGAAAATGTGACCAATAACCATGATTTAAGAGTCAACACCAGTGGATCCAGTAGAACAGAGACAATAAAATCAGCAAACAAGGACATAAAAACAACTATAGAAAGTATATTCAGGCATTTAAAGCAAAATATGAACATTGCCAGAGAAGTGTTGAGGTATGAAGAAGAACCAAACAGAACTTCTAGAGATCAAAAATAAAATGAACAAAGTGAAAGCTTCACTAGATGGGGTTAACAGCAAATTAGACACTGAAGACAGAGAAATACAATCTGTCCATGCTGAAGCACAGAGAAGAAAAAAAGACTGAAAAGAATGTCGGTGATGAGGCGAAAATATTAATCTAACAAACATGTAAGAGTCCTGGAAACAGGGACCAGAGAGAGGAGTATAGAAATAAATATCTGAAGAAATAATGTCCAAAAATTGCTAAATTTGATGAAAACTATAAAGACAAACCCAAGAAGCTCAATGAATGTCAAGCATAAGAAAAAAGAAAACCACAACAAGGTATATCAAAATCAAATCCCTGAAAAACAGTGTAAAAATAAAAATCTTCAAAGTAGCCTAAGGAAAAAAAATACATTACATGCACAGGAACAAATATAAGAACGACAGCAGATGTTGCTTCAGAAACAATACAAGCCAGAAGATAATGAACATCATAAAAGTGCTGAAAGAAAAAAAAGTCATCAAGAATTCTAATTTCAGGGCGCCTGGGTGGCTCAGTTGGTTAAGCGACTGCCTTCGGCTCAGGTCATGATCCTGGAGTCCCGGGATCGAGTCCCACATCGGGCTCCCTGCTCAGCAGGGAGTCTGCTTCTCCCTCTGACCTTCCCCCCTCTCATGTGCTCTCTCTCACTCTCTCTCTCAAATATATAAATAAAAATCTTTAAAAAAAAAAAGAATTCTAATTTCAGAAGACCTAAACAAAACTTCAAAACTATGAAGATGAATGTAAAACAAAAACTATAAGACTTTCAGGGAAAAAACTATTATGAGATTTTTCTCACAGGAGAAAACCTTCAGGGCCTAAGGCTAGACCAGGAGTTCTTAGAATTGACACTAAAAACATGATACATAAAAGCAAAAATCGATAAGCTGGACCTCATCAAAAGGCAAAACTTTTGCTCTGCAAAAGAATATAAAGAGGATGAAAAGCCAAATTACACATTGGGAGAAAATATTTGTAAACAAAATATACAACAAAGAGCTGGTTTCTATAATATTTAAAAACTCTTAAAACTAAAAATAAATCCAAAAAGAATATGAGCAACAGACACATGTTACTGAAGAAAAGATACAGATAACCAATAAATACTTGAAAAGATGTTCAGTATCTTTAACCACTAGAGAAAAATAAATGACAGCCACAATGAGAAATGAGAACAAGCACATCTTGCTGGGGGAGAATGTAAAAAGGTGCAGCCAACCTGGAAAATTATTTGGCAATTTCTTAGGAAACTACAAATCCAGAGCAAAAGTGAAAGAGTAAGGACCTCCAAAAATTCTTTTACATAAAATCAACAAGAATATTGGCAAAAATGGTAAGAAGCTTATGTACAAAACTCTGGAAATTAACCAAAGTGAGAGAGGGAGGGTTAATTTAAGAAAAATGGCAAAATCTCAATAAGCGCAGTGACCTGTGAACTTTGGGGCATCTTCACTTCCTCTAATTCTATCCCTCACTCTCCAGTTCTGCAGAAGCATGGAAAAAAAAAAAAACAAAAGCAAAACCAAACAAACCAACAAAAAACCTAGCTCCCAATCAAAGTGAAAAGCAGCAGCCTGGCTAACATCTGAAGGGACAGAACCAGGGTAGAGCTCACTCCCAGAGAACTGTCATCATTTGACTTGTTTCATGGTTCCCTGGAAGACCACACTTGCTACACTATTTTTAATTGGATCTGACTAGAAACTTGCCGTTTACCCAGGTGAAACAAATTATGGGCAATTGTTTAACTTCACAGCCATCCGAGCCAATAGATAACAGCTGGAGCAAACAAGAGACAACCAAAAACTTTAAATGGAAAAGTTGGGT